CACTGGGTAGCAAGGACGGGAACGCGGAGATAGACACCGATCTAGCACAAAGTGAGAAAGGATGGTTCTGCTTTGGATGGGGAGGAGGGAGCGTGGCGCGTGTAGCGAGTTGCAGCTCGCGGAGATAACTCGGATGCAGATGGCGTGTAACCAGAAAAGGCGAAGCGAGAAGAGCACGAGCGACGGGGGTGGTTGAAGGCGAGTCGAAACGAGACAGCCGGGGATGAAGCGCGGCGATGTGAGGGGAAGTGAGAGGAACTGGTGGGGAAAAGAGACAGAGTCGAATCGCGGTGAAACAGGGGGAAGTAATAAGGGGTTAAAAGGAAGCGTAGCAGGGAGGTTGAAACGCGAGGGGCGGTGTTGCTGCGCGACGGAGAGGCAAAGGAAACGTGTACAGCAGGGTTAGAAACGAACGAAGAGAGACGCGAGAGACGGGAACTGTGCTAGAGAGTTGCGGGAAGAGAGGCAGGGAAGAGATAGTATGCAACGGAACAGAGAAAGAGAGATCGAGTTGAGAGGAGACGGAAGGCTTTGCCGTGACGAGAGAAAGAGAGAGAAACACGTTGGTATACATGCTGGAACTTCCGAAGTTATTCGCAACAGGCAGCTTGCTAGTCTGCCTGCTGGAATTCTACCGTTCCACTACCACTGACTTTGTTCCTCTCTCTTTCTCTCTCTCTGTTCTATCCATTACGGTCTCTTCTCCTCTCTGTACTTCATCGCCGCCTCCAACGATTCTACCGCGCTCACCCTCCATCGTCCTCCATCGGCCTTCCACATCACCGACGGCCTCCTTCCACGCTTTCTCCTGCGCCTCATCGTCCCTGTTTTAATAGCCAGCTTACTGTCGCAGTCGACCACCGCCACCGTCTATAAATGCGCGTGGAACGCGGAATGCGATCCCCCCGTTTTGCGAACTGCCCACCCGACCGCCATCGCTATCCGCCACGTCCGACCGGCGTGCTCCTCGCTGTTATTATTACGCAACTCGAATTGACGCCGCGTCAGCTCCGTCGTTCATTTTCCAAGATATATCGCTTTAATGATAGTGATAGTTTCCCCTGGTTCTCGCGATTGTCCCCTGTTTGCATTTCGATGTCACGATGTCGAGTCATCGAAGAGCACTGTAAATCATACTTTGAAGGGACGAATTCTCTTTTGCGATGTTGCTCGCGAGAAGACGCTAGACCACGGAAAGCGTATTTTAAAACTCGCTGCAAGCCGAGTTAAGATAAACGTACTATGTACGGATGCGAACTGAGTATGTAGCTCAGAAAATTGTACAGACAGTTTCAAACACAGGCACAGATTTTACGCCGTAATTTCGTTTTATCGCACGGAGTCTTTAAAACAGCGTAAAATCTCAAACGTATCCGGTATGGAAAAACACGAGTCGATAATCGAACGTACAACCCCGTTCTATCGCTCACCCTAACTGCATAAATCCGCTCTTAATATTTTGCTACGCAAAGATCGTGCAAAGAACGAAACACTCCAAGATTAAAAAAAAAAAAAAAAAAATAGAAAAAGGAAGAAAACTCGCGACATTGTGTATCGACGATAATCCCGAGACGCGACGAAAGAATTCTCCGAGTCGGCGACGCGATTCTTCTCGCCAGCCGATTCGGATTCAGTAATTAGGTGAACCGCGCTCTAAGCGGTCCGTTTGCTTACGTGCTCGCCGGCGTTTGCCCGGCTTAATTAATTCTCGCATTGGTGGCACTCTTTGCGGGCGAGATTCTCATCGGGCGTGTTTGAAGCGGGGGCAGGAGCCGCCACCGGAGCGGACAGATAGAGACTGGCAGATGAGCTAATGGATAATAGGCGAACACCGACGAACGATTGTTCCTCGCCCCGGCGGAGCTGCATCGCGCTTTCAACCTACGCTCGTGTGTACGGATCGCGTTCTACCTCTTTTCAGAATTCTCCCCCGTCTCGTTTTCACCGGGAAGCGTCTAGCGACGCTTCAATTATCCAGACAATGGACACGCGTGACTCTCTTCTTCTCTCTCTCTTTTTATCTATCTACCTACCAGAGCCTTCATTCTCCGAACAATGTTGCGTGTCCGTTCTGCGCGAATTCCGAGGGAGAATTGATCGAAAGCTCGAGACGACTCGATTCAAGCATCCCCCCCCC